AATTAAATAAATTTATAATAAATTTTAATTCAATGCATACTTAGAAATAATTTAAAGCAAAAAATTTGTGTTAATAAAGTGATTGTGTGTAACGAACAATCATAATTTGCGGATAGAAATTTTGTTTTTATTATTTCTATGTTGCTAATTAAAATATGTATTAAAACATTACGATAGTTTGAATTATTGTAAAATTGTGCTAAACATTTATTGCGAATAATTAATTGTTACATACAAATTTCCAATCCCATTGCAATATAATATTGTAATATTGTTATCTAGATTAAGGGTATTTGGCAGTTGTATTGTGTTTGCACATTGCTTTCGGTGGTCTTTTTGTGGCTAACTTTTAGGTATAATCTCTTACCTGTGCTCAAATAAATTATAACATATTTTACTTTTCCCTCTGGACTTAAAAATACACAATAGATTTTACAATATTTTTACAAACTGGGAGACTATTAATCTTCATTACTAGTTAAAACTTACGCATAAATTAAAATTACACAAATATTTAAATTTTCATAAAATTTTGTGAATAACATAATATTTGAATTCATACAAATCCAATAAATCTAATTTACGATTTTGTGTTGACTTGTTAGCTGAGGTTGACTGGATGTTTATTGAAATGTCTGCAATATCGTGACTTTAAAACCTTATTCAACGCGTGATTTATAAAATATAGTTTACATCCCATTGATTGAGTCGATAACTAATACATACTCTAAATTTTAACACAATTTTCTTTCGCACAAAAAACAAGTTTTTCTCAATTCCTGAGTCCTTTGAGACTCTAATAACAGACAGATTTAGGATTTCAAAGTATTTTATTATTTTATTTTCTTATTGTTCTACACAATGAATATTGCATTTGAATTACCGGAGTATACCTCTAGTAGTATGTATAATATATTAGAAATTTATTGTATACACTATTATAATGATATTTAGAGTAAGAAAAATGAGTGTTTGAACAATAAAATCCAGTGCAACCCTCCCATCGATGCTACCAATCAATTATATGTTATAAATCTCCATATTTTTCTATTATATAATATTTTTATCTTTTGTTATAATTACTTAATAATCAATCGAAGAGCTAATAAAACTCGAGCCCAACAATGGGTTCATTTAATAATACGGTTATTATATGCCTCTATATATATACATATATATATTCTATAAATATATATATTCTTGCAGTTATTATTTTTGAATTTTGAATCAGTTTTACAGAAACTATTTTCTTATTTCTTATGTTTTGAGAGCAAACACAACAGAAATGAATACATTTATAAAAAGCCCTTTAATTCGTTTTGAACATCAGTTTTCTCTCTAATTATAAATCCTATGATAACATAAGAAGTTAATGAATACAATACGACGAGAATAATACAATAACCATAAGAAATGATTAATTATTTTATTGAAAAATTTGTATTAAGCGTATGTTTATTAATAATTACTCTAATTTCGAGAGGTATTCAATGTAATCATAATTAATCATATTTTCTATGTGTATTGTATGTATAAATAGGTTTTTGCTAATTATTATGATTGTTATTAGGAGTTGAAGCCAATGTAAGGCCAGAAGTGGGCATTTGTCTCAGTTATAGAAACATGAGTAAAATATACACCAATTGTTTTGCCGGCAATCATACGGTGTTTGCGAGGAAATACTGTTGTCGAGACGATTCACCCAAAGATTACACACATTTTGAGTACTGTTGCGATATTGACACCTTTGCCGCACAGTTCAGGTATTATATATAAGGGAATGGGATGTGACACACAAACTGGTAGATATATTTTAAGGAGAAAAAAGTTTTCTAATCTTTATTTATGTTAATCTGAAGCGAGAATTGCAGTGTAATTGAAATTTTCACTCAAATTGAAAAGTAATTTATAGCGAGTAGTGCCGTAAGAGTAGGTGTTTTAAAGTGTCGCTAACACTCGATAACAGTCTAATTTGATGTGACTTTAAGTTATTATAAACTTTTCTAGCCTTTGATTTCATCGATAGATAACACATAAAATATATATTTTGTAGTGTTTTATATCAGAATTTAATTAAAACTTAAGAAATCTCAAATTTATTATGATTTTACGGCATTTAATTATAGCACAAAACTGTACCTAATCCTAGTGGTGGTGTGCGTGTCTGGGCTCATATTTTCCACATGTATTATAATTGGTATAAATATAATTATGACAACATTTGGCACAAATCAAACGCCAGGTAACAAACCGACAAACGATAAAAGTGTAACAAATGACAGCAAAACAGATAGGGGTCTGAAAGGGGCCCAAAAGTGAGGCCATACGAAGTCGAGCGCCGGTAGTGCTGGGAATGAGCGCAAGAAAAGCGGTGATAATAACCGTAAAAATAGTGGTAATCGTGTATTAGTTGCGGAGGAAGTGCCAAATGAAAACAGACGCCAAAAATAGTTGTATTAATAAATTTTATGAAAAAAACAAGATTTTAAGTGAATTAGAAATACCCTTTTTTCATAATCGGAATTAATTTTAAATTATATTTTTATTTTTGCCCAAAACTTTTTGCTACTTATTTTTGCTCCTTATATATCCAATAAATATATTTATCTCAAGTAAAGCATACCTCTGAATATTCAGTTTACTTTTAATTCATACACTATTTTTATGTAATCGTACTGCTATATGCTATTTATGTCCAAAAAATAAAAAACTAAAACATTTTTTCGTTTGTGAACTCATTTTATAAATAACTTTATTTTATGAAATACTGCCACAAACATCAAGAAATAGCATTTAGATATGAATATATTTTTGGTGTGATTTTTAGTTTTGATTATTGTTTCTCTGCCCCCACTCTCTGTGCTCAACGAGAATTGCTTTTTATTCATACCATACATACCATACCATACCATACCATACCATACCATACCATACCATACCATACAACCGATAACTCAAACTCATGTTTCGCTATTTGCAAATCAAAACCCATGAAAAATACTATTATTATTATTATCTAAACATAACTATAATACTCTTAAGAATATATGATTATATTATAATCTCAACTGTTATATTGAATTCATACACACAAAAATATAAACACAGAAAAAATTTAATTTATTGGATATAATCACGAATATAAAGAGGAGAAGTTGTTTCGCAAATATTAATATTATATGTGTTTTAATTTCTAGAGTACACACACGTATATAAATGGCTTAAAAATAAATAAGAGGCACCGGTATATTAGAGCACCGGTTACTAAATATGATGGCAAAGGGGAATATTAAGCAATTCATTATAGATAATAATGAATTATATTTATATATAGTATTATACGCACTCGTAAACTGTGTTTGAATGCCTTATTTTGAGGTTAATCAATGTATTTAATAAATATAAATTCATATAAAATATATGTGATATCTATTATCATATTTAACTTATTTCTCATTTTGATATCCAATTATTTTCTCTCCGATCAGATATAATAATGATTTTCTTATTATTTATATATTGTATTCACTATTCAAACAAATGAATATAAAATAATTTCTATTCTTTAATAACACATAAAATAAAAGTTTTTTTTATCAAAGCTTTTCATAATTAATAATTTCCGTTATTTCAATAATAATATAATCATTAAAACAAAAAAAAGTTACAAAAAGAGTTTAATTAAGTAAAGATTAAGCAATGTTTTGTTTGAAAAAGTTTGGATACATATTAAAATTAATTAATTTCCATCTGATTATATACAGCCAAGGAGAAACTATTATTAAAATTGATATTAAATTACATATTTAAAGCAAACTTTTATCGTAAAAACGATTATAATAATTATGCACACAATTTATCATATTTTCATTGAAATATCGATAAAGTTGACATAAAAATACAAAATAATTGTTTGTATATTACAACAATTTTTGATTGGATCTGAAAATTTAAGATTTTTACGATAATTACACATAACATAATTTTGTCATTTTTATTTAACTTTAACAACTTATTATAAGTTTATAAAATATATCAGTATGAGTTTATCTAGGATCTAATTATGTGTGATACGAGTGTAATTAGTTCACTAGATTTATAATACAAATACAAAACATCGATATGAAAAATTATGCCGTGATAAGCAAATATAAAATACATCGAAAATCAATTATAAAGTCACAAAATAAAGCACAAAATTTTCAATTAAAAATTTCCGGAATTTAATTAAAAGTATCCGGAATTTAATGAAAAAGTATCCGGAAAACTAAAATCACAAAAAACATTTTCAAACCCCAAATACATTGCATTTTACAGTTCACACCAAAAACCGGGTCGTAATGAGCGTACGCTCCCTCAACACACATGTGATTAAAGCATGTGTTCAATGGGTTTGTAAACAAAAACTACTTTTGTTTCAGTAATTTGTGTCAAATAATAATCAATAGTTTTGCGATTAATTTATTAAACTTTTGAATGAAAAGTTAATTAATAACTAAAACTCAAAAATGTTTTTAAAGACAATAAAAGTGTTGAGAAATAATTGGAAAAAAAGTGTGTTTTTTAGTTGTCTTTCCGTTTATGGCATTCATTACGGAAACAATAAACTTATGTATGATTTGTATAAATACTTTGATTTATATTTAGTTTACTATTAATTATCGCAAATATAATGACAATTGTTTTGATGCCATATATAGTGAACAGACGAAAATGAGGGCCTATTGTGAGGAGGCACTGGTATGTTGTTTGACATGTATTTCCCCCATAAATATGCAATGCATTGATTTCATACACAATTAGTGCATATATTTCATACACTATACAGTAATCGCATAATAATTGGTAGACATATACAGTAGTAATAATAGATAATTAATTGCAAAGCGTTTTGTGTGAACCAATGAAACCGTGATTTAGTATTGAATAGCATTGAAGCCATTGATTGCATGTATTATGTAATGATTGCAGCGTTTCGGCGATCACTACATACGAGCGGATCAGTTGTGTCGACACATAACAGTAATCCTGAACCCAATGGCCAATCGCCGCAAAAGTAAGCAAAACTACGAGAAATATTGTGCACCACTCCTGCATTTGGCGGGCATTCGGGTCAGTGTTGTCGTCACGGAGGCCGAGGGTCAGGCCAGGGATCTCATGGAGATTATGGACAACACGGATGCGGTGCTGATAGCGGGCGGCAACGGAACCGTTCACGAGGTGGTGACCGGACTCTTGCGACGGCCCGACAGTCGCGCGGCTGTCCATCGCATGCCAATCGGTATTCTGCCGGTCGGCCGAAGAAATACAATCGCTTTGCAGTTGAATCGCTTGACCGACAAAAATGTGAAGACATACGAGTGAGTTGTGCATTGAATGGCGAAATAGTTTGTGATATAATGGTGTGAATGAATTGAAAGGGTTTTGGCGCAGTCGACGATGTCTGCCATCCGAGAGGTACTGAAATCAGTGGATGTGATGAGGATTGAGGGCACGGAAGGCAGACCTGTCTATGCCTTAGATGAGCTGAATTGCGGCACAATTCGCGAGACATTCGCTGTCATTGAAAAGTACTGGTATTTGGGAAACTATCTCAAGCCTTATTTGGCGTTCATTTCCAACTCATTTAAAGTAAGCTTTTGTTTGTTTTATTAATTATAGAGCACTTAAAAACTTAATTTTTAATTATAATTATTATTTAATTAGTAAATCTAATCAGTGCTTAGAATAGCTTGAAATGTAAGTCAAATGCTATAAAACTGTAAGAAAATTGATAATTAGAGAGATTTAGTAGAAATAACTGTTAATTAATGACTGATAAAAATTTGTTGATAATTGGTATTAACTGTCGGTGCGATAGAGTCTCCCGGGAGTGGAAGGGGTGAACATATCGTACAGCAAGCCGTGCACCGGTTGCTCGAAGTGCTACCAGCGCTTCGAGCGCCAGACAGCCGGCGCTGAGGGTCTG